GTAAGGAGAGCCTCTGCACATGCATGTCCCTCTGCGGAGTTCCCCCAGATCTCCACAGGGTCCAGTTTCTCAGTTCATATAGGTGTCTACTCAGATGTCACCTCATCAGGCCTTCCCAGGCCTCTGGGTCTGGAATAACACTCCCTCCCCTTTCCCTATCTGATTTTTTTCATAGCACTTGACATGTATTTGCTGACTTTTTAATTTTTTTAAATATATTTTTATTGATTTCAGAGAGGAGGGGGAGAGAGAGAAACAACAATGATGAGAGAGAATCATTGGTCAGCTGCCTCCTGCAGGCCCCACCCTGGGGATTGAGCCGCAACCTGGGCATGTGCCCTGGCCAGGTTCATAGGTTGTGACCCCCTGGATCATAGGTTGACACCCAACCAGTGACTTGGCTGGCTGACTTTTTAAATATTTATTCTACTGCTAGAATGTAAGCTTCATGAGAGTAAGAGCTTTGATTTTTTTAAAAAATAATTTTAGAGAGGAAGGCAGAGAGAGATTGAGAGAGAGAGAAACATCGGTCAGCAGCTTCCTGCACATGCCATGGATTCCACCACCTTTTGGTGTACTGACATTGCTCCAACCAACGGAGCCACACTGGCCAGGGCAAGAGCTTTGACTTTTTTCATTGCTTTATCTTCAGAATCAAGAACAGTGTGTGACATACATTAGGTGCTCAATAGATACTTCTTGAATGAATGAATATAATAGTTAGGAGGTTTGGAAAGACTTTACTGAGGAAGAAATAATTGAGCTAAGACCTGAAGGAAGAGTAGAAATTAACTTGGAGGAAAGAGGAAATTGTAGTAGGACAAGAATGCAAGCTCCCTGAGTGTGAAAGGGCCTTATCTCATTTATTTATTTATTTTGATTATAAATTTTTTTAATTAAATCTTTATTGTTCAGATTATTACATTAGTTACTTTTTTCCCACCATAACTCCCCTCCACCCAGTTCCCACCCCACCCACCGCCCTCACTCCCCACCCACTGTCCTAATCCATAGGTGCACGATTATTGTCCAA